AGGAAGGGGCGCTTTGCACCCCTATAACTGAGGAACGGAGATAGATATCGACGCGAGACCAACGCCAGAATCCGTTTCGCGCGATCAACTTTCGATTTCCGTAAAGAAAAATTTGCACCCCTTTGGACCAAGTATACAGGGCCCGAAGGGTGGATCCTAGGGGGTTGGAGTACGGGACCGAAATTGTAGCCCTTCGCGAGACCGATCGATGTCCCTCGGGTGCCAATCTCGCCGCGTCAACGGTTTTCGAGTTACGGACCAAAAATAGGAAGGGGCGCTTTGCACCCCTATAACTGAGGAACGGAGATAGATATCGACGCGAGACCAACGCCAGAATCCGTTTCGCGCGATCAACTTTCGATTTCCATAAAAAAAAATTTTCACCCCTTTGGACCAAGTATACAGGGCCCGAAGGGTGGGTCCTAGGGGGGGTGGAGTACGGGACCAAATTGTAGCCTTTCGCGAGACCGATCGATGTCCCTCGGGAGACAACCCTCCCCCGTCAACGGTTTCCGAGTTACGGACCCAAAATGGCAAGGGGCGCTTTGCACCCCTATAACTAAGGAACGGAGATAGATATCGACGCGAGACCAACGCCAGAATCCGTTTCGCGTGATCAACTTTCGATTTCCATAAAAAAAAATTTTCACCCCTTTGGACCAAGTATACAGGGCCCGAAGGGTGGGTCCTAGGGGGGGCGGAGTACGGGACCAAATTGTAGCCTTTCGCGAGACCGATCGATGTCCCTCGGGAGACACCCCTTCCCCGTCAACGGTTTCCGAGTTACGGACCCAAAATGGCAAGGGGCGCTTTGCACCCCTATAACTAAGGAACGGAGATAGATATCGACGCGAGACCAACGCCAGAATCCGTTTCGCGTGACCAATTTTCGATTTCCGTAATAAAAATATGCAAAAAAGCTGGAACACCGTAACCCTAACCTTTTTTTTTTTTTTTTTTTTTTTTTTAACCTGAGAAACCCTACAAGAATGCTCCTATGATTCGAGTTTCTAAACCCGACGGTTTACGAGAGAGAAGGTCTTCTATCTGTCTTGGACCAAGTATATAACTCGTCAACCAGCTGTCGTAGGGGAAAAGAGCATAGGACTTTTATATAGAACTCGATATTCCATACAAAAATGCCCTTATAATTCGAGTTTCTAAACCCGACGGTTTACGAGAGAAGGTCCTCTATCTGTCTTGGTCCAAGTATGTAACTGGTAAACCACCGGTCCTACGGGAAAAGTACATAGGACTTTTTTATAGAACTCGTCAATTCCTACAATAGTGCTCTTATGATTCGAGTTTCTAAACCCAACGGTTTACGACACAAAAAAAAAAAAAAAAATTCTATCTGTCTTCGTCCAAGTATGTAACTTGTCAACCAGCTGTCCTAGGGAAAAAGTGCATCGGACTTTATTATAGATCTCGAGACTACCTACAAGAATGCTAATATGATTGGACATTCTAAACCCAACAGATAACGAGAAACGGACTTTTTTCTTGCATCGTCCAATTATGTAATGGCCACAGACTTCTTTATATTACTAGACCGCTAACTCCTACGAAATACAGGGCCCCGAAAAGTATGTACACAACACACACACACACACACACACACAAACATTTTTCGGCTGTACACATCGGCCATATTACATATCCAGCTCCTATCCTCTTCTTTCCTACTGATTCCTACTTAAGTCACGCATGCGCAGATGTTTACTTCTCATATGTAATACAAATACATATTTTTGGTGTCAATTTTTTGGTACTTTATATAAGGGAGTTAGCGGTCTAGTAATATTTAGAAATCTGTGGTAATGGCCCTTGCACACTGGACGCGATAAGCGATAAGCGATGGGCGATATCGAATGAGAGCTCTGCTTTTCCGAACATCTGTCGCGAGGTTCGGCACGACGTCGCTCAAAAGGTTGGTCAAGTTTCTACTTTCGTTGCTCGCGATGTGCGAAAGCTGACAACCATAGACTACACAGAGAAAAATGTACGATACTGTACAAAGTAATATCATGGACCATTATTCAGAAATGAATTTCGAGAATATAGAGATGTTTGAGATTGCATTAAATTACTTTTAATTTAATTTCTTCTTTGTCACATGGGCTTCGCATTATTATTCCATCGCGATCAAAGTCGAAAAACAATGTTCTTATCGCTATTATTATTTAAGGTTTTTTGGTGTTTTTTGACTTTTGAAGCCCATGTGACAAATAAGTTTTACACGAAAACACGCAAACAACTTTGTCGGTTAGCCGCGCGATAAACGGCTGCCGGCACGCGCGAGGCCGTGACGTAGCCAGTGACGTACGGGCCACCGGCCTATCACTCGCTCCGAATCTCATCTCGCGCCGATATTTCAAGGGGCGGCCAATAAAGTTTGGCGCCGCGTTGAATCTTCGAACCAAACTCGGAGGTTCAAACTTATTGGCAGCGAGAGATTAAAGAACCGCTATAAAAGGGCCCGCGAACGAGGAGCGCCTGAGACACTCGCTTACGCGTTTAGTTACCGCATATAGTTACACCGCTTTGAGACACTCGCTTACGCGTTTAGTTACCGCATATAGTTACACCGCTTTGAGACACTCGCTTACGCGTTTAGTTACATAGATATTCTTTTTTGTATTTAATATTATTATTATATATTATATGACATTTATATGTATATTTATAAACAACAAATACAATAACTGAAAACTGTAAAATGAAATTAATTCGGGATACAATTTAAGTTTCTTTATTGCCAAGTAGAGTAGAAAAAGAGAGATGAGTTTTGTGGAATTTAAGATTATATATAAAAAGGTGAAGTCATGAACTTCGATTACCCATAATGCAATGCAAAGAATCGATGTGTGAACCAATAACTACCTTGTTTAGCATCTCTTTTTAATAGCGGCTGCTCACACATCGATTCTTTGCATTGCATTATGAGTAATCGGGGCTCATAACTTAACTTTCTTATATATCACTTTAGTGGAATTTTTTAAAAATTGTTTTTATTAACTTTTTTAAAATGTTTTAATATTTAAACCAGAATAGTGGGGAAAAAGTGAAAGATCTTTAAGGGTACGAACCCATGCAGCGGAATAGCGTAACGCGGAACGAGAGCGGAACCAATCACGAGCGTTCCGCAGTTTTTGCAACGTGGATTTCAAGTCCTTACATCCCCATGGAGCGTAATGAGCACACCGCGGATCAATGCGCAACCAATCACGAGTCATTATTTCAAAAGAGTTAAAACCGCATTAAAACTTATTTAACTTATTTAACATTTTTAATTAATATTTCCAATAAGAACGCATTCATTTCAATATTTATGTACATGATAATAAAAAACGATCGATAAAAACAATATTTGAAAGTCACTTTAGAAATGTTCTGCTCGTTCTGCTTGCGCTCATTCCGCTCCATGGGGATGTAGGGACTTGAAATCCACGTAACGAAAATGACGGAACTGTATGTATGTACACATATACTTTGTTAAATTGGCAGCGTAGAGCAACGTGGTCAGTACAGAAACAGAGATACATTATTAATTATTACAAGTTATTTCTTATTTTCAGAGATAAAGGAAAAATTTTGAAGTTAGCTTTTACTACCATGTGTATATGTATAGATGTGTATGTACATTACGCAATCTGCGAAACCTATTCCGCTAGAAACTACTGAAAACGGAACGAAATTGCGGAACGTTCGTGATTGGTTCCGCTTTCGTTCCGCGTTACGCTATTCCGATGCATGGGTTTGCACCCTCAGAGCAATGGGTGCGTTCAGGAGACACAACTGTTGAGTAGGAATCGAACGTGATTGGTTCTTACTTCTAGAACCAACAAATCAACGTCGAGTGTGGACAAAGAGTGCGTTCCGTTTCTCGCATGATGCGCATAGGAGCGCACGAGATCGTTCCGTTTCAATCCATGCGCAGTTCATGCGCGCATTTGAACGGTCTCCCACCACAACGCCGCGCCATGTTGTGCAGCGCATGAGAGCGCATGAGCTGCCTCAGCTCCCGAGGTGGTGTAGTCCATACGTGGTCCATGCGCGAGAGTTATTTAGGCGGGAAGGAGATTATCTGCAAAGTGTAGGATACAAATTATAGGATTCCGAAATTCATAAAAAATGGCTTTGAAGATGCTACAAATTTATGTTGATGATAAATTGTGGATGTTTGACGTGTCGGATACTGAATAAAACTCCAAATCTAAATATATGTACACGTAGGCGGACACAACGGCGCGGCCCCTACAAAGCCTGCAAAGAATTCGGTTAATGCGTTCATCGATAAATGATCATGTATCACTTTCTATCTACGAGACCGACGCATTTCGAGATTTCGTTTAAAATTCCATTGCTTTCCTAAATAATAAATTCAAAATATAGTTTGCGAGGTAAATTTGATGAAGCAAGAGCTACACATTGGCAAGCACTTGCCAAAAGTATTGAGCTACAAAACAATTTGTAAAAAGTTTTAGTGTTTTTTTTTGCTCCTTCCGTTTGTTACATAATTGTAAACAGGCTAATTATATTTTTTATTGTGTATCTATAATTATAATATTACAATGACTCGCATTAATATTCACACATCGTAATACTTGAAAAATAATTAATCTGTCTATTTATTTAAAGAATTTTCTGTTTTTTAGTGAATTAAAGCACAAAAGGATACCCTACAAAATATTGAAGTTATAGTAATTTAGTTCATATGTAAGTGCATTTTATAGAAAAATATATTTTTTTTGTCCGACTTTTTTTTGCGTTGTAAGAATTATTTTGTTTACCACTTATTATATGAAAAAATACACAAATTAAATAAAAATAGTTTATATTTTCGACAACTACAATAAATGCTTTAACTCGTTAAAAAGAAAAAATGTCTTAAATAAGTATACAAACTAATTTTTTCTCCATGTATTATAGCGTCCAAATATTAATGCGAGTCACTGTATATATAATTATATATCTTTCAATTCAGAAATAAATTACTGTTTCCGCAATAAATTCTTTATTTTATGGAAATTTACATTAGTGATAACAGCTTATGTCTTAAACTGCTTTCTGAAGTGTTCTAACTGAAGGAAAAATTGGAAACTCCCTGACAAAGTCCGAGTAGCCTTGCGTGCCCCATTTCATTTTGTAGACTAGTGCGTCGGTAATGGTTGGAGTGCTCCACTTTCTTCCTCTTGTAGTCTTTGAACATAGAGCCTTCCATTGGTCTTGGCGCAATCTGACAGCCAATAATCCATAGCTACGACGATGGAAATTTTCGAGTCTTTTAAGCTCTATTTTCGTTTTTTCGTGTTGCCTTCTCATATTACGATAACTGTTGAAAACTCTATCTGCCATCTTTTGCATAGAAACATGTTTTGTCTGGAGTGCTTCTAATTCTTTTTCTTTTGACTCTAATCGCCGCTTTAAAGCTTCCACGGTTTCTTTTTTCGTTCTATCTGTAACTGATGACGATGCGGGCGACTGTGTTTCTGATGCAGATATTTTCTTGGCTAAATTGACAGAGGTGACAAAAGTTACTGGATGGATAGAAATCTTATTCACATTTATGTTAGAGACATCCTTGGAGAGGCTTCGTGATTGGGGGAGAAGTATCGGAGCATGGGAAATGACTGTTGGAACACTGGACAAGCGACAATAGTTATGCTCATCGAGAAAAGGGATGTAAGGGACAGGCGAAGAATTTTCTTCTGAAGATAATAACGATGGAATAGCCGAGCACTGCAACTTTCTTGAACCATCTTCCCTCCTTTGCTCCCACTGATCTTTGCCAAAATGAATCTGAATATTCGAAGAATATAGGTACGATTTGCAAATTTATTGACAACGGTAGAAACATAGAGTGATATTTACTTCGCAAAGTGTGCTATTTGCATGTGGTTGCCAATTTGACCGGTTCACCAATGAAATCCATTTCGCGCGTCTTTCTGATTCTCTCGGAAATCGAAACAACATAAGACCTTGCTTTTCCCTTACATTACAGCCGCTAACTGAACAGTGCCTCACCATCTAAAATAGAACAAAGAGACAATTTATGATGAGAATCCGATACACGGATGAAGAGGTTAGGCTGCATATATGTGTGCTGCTGGATATAAATAAAGATCCCGCAATGTCAATAAAGTCCCCTACAGTTATTTAACAACACGGAAAGAACATTTCTACTTACCGTGATCACCAGAAATAATAATATGCATTTATTTAGACTGTAAGGACATAACCATGTTTAATTGACAGCTCTACAGACTTCTATATATATATAAAAGTCTGTGGACAGCTCTACAATGGACGCGTTCCACTTGACGCTCGCAAGCATCATCTGTCTTTGTTTAACTTTCGGTGAACAACAAGGATAAAATAATACCATGAGCGTTGCGGTCGTTAAGTGGAACGCGCCCAATGTGGGTCGTTACAAGCCTAAAGAGCACAGAACGTTGCAGCAATGTTACTACAATGTTGCAATGTTGCTGCAACGTTCTGTGCTGTATGGGAAGGATTATGGGATATAATTTTCATTTTCTTTCCTGCATGTTTATAACATATACTGCTCCTTTAAATCATTTCCTACTTTTAACAATAGTTTTTCAAACTGTGTCGTTTTGTCATTTGTGAATCCCTTTTTGTGTCTTATTTATTTGAATATTTCAACCATCCAAAATCTTTTGCCGCATTTGTATTTTAATTTAATTTTAATTTACATTGCCAGAGTAGTAACGTTTCATAATATATCTTTGATTAATAATAACACACACACACACACATCTGTTATATAATAAAATAAATGAAATATAATTCTGGGCAACAATATTCTGCGCAGACGCTTAACGCTCGACGCTTGACGCTGCCATGTAAAGGCACCTTAAAGTCCGTATTACACTACGGGTTGCGGGCTCATTTGCGATTGGGGTTACGGTTGACGAATACGGATTGACCAATCAGAGCAAAGCAGCTTGCCGGTTGATTGGTCAATCCGCAACTATCAGCCGTAACCCCAACCGCAACCGAGCCCGCAACCCGTAGTGTAATATGGCCTTAACATCCGCAGTTCTAAAATTGACCAATCACAATCGTTTCATTTTTTAAAGAAATAGCTGTGATTGGCTAGTTAACTTACAGAGCTACCAACATAAAAATTTCTAACGACATAAATTCTCGTATATGACACAAATTTTAAAATTTTATTTTTGGTTGCTCTGTAAGTTAATCAACGATTTAATTAACCGGAATTTGGTTGAAGTCATCTTTGTATTGTGTCTAAAAAAATTATGCGTCCAATTTTTGTCTGTAAAAATATATATGCGTATGGGTAGAAATGTAGTAACGTTGAACGCCATATTGTTTTTCAGCACTTCGTGGATCGTTCCTGTGTCTATATATAAGTGAGAGAGAGCGCGTCACGTCATTGTAATTTGTACATAGACCGTTCGGAACACGAGTGCGCATCTCCCACGGGAATTTTGTATACCCTTATCTCGCCGTTTTTCTTATATCATCGTCATGGACGAATCTGACCGCGAAGAGACGGGACACGGGCAGCTACGATATACGGCGCAGTGCGAACAATTGTGACTTTTATGTATACGATTTTGTGCGGCGACTATAATACGCGCGACGATAGTGGTGTGAGACGAAAGTGGGGGTGAGAGAGAGATAGAATAGAGATTGCTTCGAGAACGTGTTACGTGTTTTTTTTGTGAGCCTCGTCCGTGTTGTGCTCACGCCATGACGTTGCTGTGAAATCGTATCCCAATAATATCAATCCCGATGTTGGTCATAGGATTGTGCCAATGTAACTTTCTTGCTTTTAACGAGGAGGAGAGAATCCGGGGCGGCGGCAATTCGTGGATACCGAAGAAAGCTTCAAACGCGTTTGAAGCTTTCGAGGTCGTATTCATGGAACTATGAACCTGGACTCGTTGTCTTTTACTTTGTCACAAATCAGTTATTTGGTTGCGAATTTGAGTAAGAAAAATTACGAGGACAGCTGTCAAGAGATATCGGTTGTAAGTATTATACATTATTTTCACGTTATTCGGTGAGAAAAAAAACCTATCGTTCTCTCTACCTAAATAATCGTTTCTACGAATCCATTTCTTCTCTCCTCC